GGAGAGAGAGAGAGAGAGAGACAGAGAGAGAGGAGAGAGGGAGGGGAGAGAGAGAGAGAGAGAAACGTCAGTGCAGACGGACGGACAGACAGACAGCCTCCCACTCCGGGAACACAGGGACACTAAAAGCAGCAAGAACAGGAGGGGAAACTGAGGCTTGGGCCCCACCCGCTGTGCCTGGGGGGTGGATGACGACCTTTCCCGCTCCAGCGCGAGGACAAAGCCTGAGGCCACCAACCTCTGGCCAGCTGGCACCTTTGGAGTAATTGGGGGGGGCGTCTCCAGGGAGGGGTGCTCGGACCCCGGAGCCCCGCCCTGTGGCCTCGACTGCTGCACCAGAGCTCAGACGGGGACAGAAGCAAGACACAGACAGAGAGAAGGGGGGGGATCTGAGGCCCAGCGCCTCCCGGGCCCCGCATCTCCCAGGCCCAGGCCCTTCCGCCTCTAGGACCTGCCAATCATTCCACGTCGACGCAGCGGACGCCCCGCCCCTAAGGAGCCCGCCGTGGCTTGGATCGTGACCTCAGAGATTTCACCTAGAGCTGTCAATCATTCCCTACTCTAAAGGCACCACGGAAGTCCCGTCTCTGTGCCACCCATCACTCAAGGGCTCCGGGACACTGGAAGTCCCTCCCCCAGGACTGTCTGCAGTTCTGGCCCCTGGAGTCTGTGCGGCCCGTCCCGCAGCTGTCAATCACCCCTTGTCTTGACTCCTGCTGGCCCGGGAGGGGAGGCCAGGCGCCCTTACCCTGCGAGGACTGCGTCTGCACGAAGGTTTTGATGAGCAGGTCGGTGGCCTGTGTGTAGAGCGACAAGGCGTAGCGCAGGGACTGGAGGTCGGGACTCTTCTCCAGGAAGGTCTTCTTGAGGCCCACGCCCCCCGCGTGGAAGTATTGCTGCGGATGGACAGGGTGAGGCTGCTGGTCTCAGCACCGCCGCGGCCGCACAGGGCCCTGGGGGGGGGGGAGGCCCTCCCCGCCCGCCGCCCTCCCCGACGCCCGACGCCCTCCCCGACGCCCTCCCCGACGCCCGACGCCCTCCCCGCCCACCGCCCTCCCCGACGACCGCCGCCCTCCCCGCCCGCCGCCCTCCCCGACGCCCGACGCCCTCCCCGCCCACCGCCCTCCCCGACGACCACCGCCCTCCCCGCCCGCCGCCCTCCCCGACGCCCGACGCCCTCCCCGACGCCCTCCCCGACGCCCGACGCCCTCCCCGCCCACCGCCCTCCCCGACCACCGCCCTGCCCGACCACCGCCCTCCCTGACCACCGCCCGTTTACTTTACCTTGTAGACTCAGGCACCCCCAAACCCGCTTCCTCGTGCCCTCGCTCACCTTGATGGTGTCCAGGGCCAGTTCGACCACGGCGCACTGCTTCGGGGTGAGGCTCTTGGCTTCTTCACGTACCATGTGATCCTGTGGATGGCAGGGAGGGTCGGGTGAGCAGAGCTGACGCCAACGTTGAGATTGTGAGTCTTGGGCGCCCATGTTGGGGGTCAAAGGACCCGTTCCACTGATCAAACGGAATCTGATCGCGTCTTTCCGCAGGGCATTAGAAGTGGGGTCCGGGTCCGGGTCCCGGATCTGGTGCCCTGGTCGGTCCCTAGCCTTCCCCGTGGGCCTGGCCCCCTCACCTTGAGTTTGGACAGCTGGCCCAGCTCCTTGGCGGCATTGAAGATCATCTGTGTTCCCTGTAGGGAACAGAGACAGCGGGGTAACAGTGTGAATTTTCTAGATGGTTCCCCCACCCCGAGCGACCCCCAGCCTGTCTGCCATCTTGGTTCCCGTCCAAAGGGTCAGGAGCCTCCCAGTGAGATCGCGGGGCGTGTGGCCACCGGGTCCCTGGAGAAGCCGGGTTCCGTGGGAACACTGCCCACGCACTCTCATTCCCACCAGGGCCCCACAGTTGGAAGACATAAGACAAGCAGGCGTGTGGGGGGGGGTGAGGGGAGGCACCCTGGGGTGGGATCTCCTTCCCCTCGGCCGCCCCTCTGTCCTCCTCACGCACTGGCGTCTGGAACCCCCCTTCCCTGAGACGCCCACCAGATGGCAACGGTGGCAGGGCCCAGGTAAAAATCCCAGCTGTGCAGCCCCAGACAGGTGACCTGACCCCTCTGAGCCTGTTTCCCCCAGATAAGGGAACCATGGCCACCTGGTGGCCCTGAAGGGACAGGGATGTCTTTGGTGACTTGGTTGCTGTCTTGGTCTCATCACAGGCAACGCATAGCCGACTGGGTTCCAGCCTGGGAGCCAGGGTTGAGCTGGATGGCCTCAGGCAGGTGCCTTGCCATCTCTGGGCCTGGCCTCTCCCCAACTAATTAGCATTTGTTGAAGGGGTGCTGCCCCAGGGCGTTCTGTTGGGCTGTTCAAGGCCGGCCTGAGCCGGTTCCGGCCACCTCAGGCCACGTAATTCTGTGTGTTATTCTGTCCTGCGGGGTGGAAGCCCAGGCCTTACACACGTCAGGACGGAACCCAGAATCAGGGCCTATGAGCTCATCAGGCCTCCGCAGCGCCACACACCCCAGCCCTGAGGCTGTGAGCCAGAGTTACGGGAGCCCAGCTGTCTGGGCCTCGGTTTCCCCTGTTGCACCCACCTGTGCTCTGCTGCGGAGCAGGGTCCCTCTTGAGCATCCTCCACGCCTCCCACTGCCCTTCCCTACCCACCCACAAGCAAGCCAGACAGACAGAGGAAGAAGAAATAACAGACAGGGCCACAGGACGCCCCCGACGGCACGGACCACAGAGTGGAAGGGGCAGGGAGGGAGAGGGGTGGGGTGGGAGCCAGACAGACAGTGAGAGGCTGGGCTTACGTCTGAGTGGCTTGGCAGTTTCACCCTGCCCTGTGGAGAGAACCAGGCGGAGGTCAGAGTTCTGGCGGCTGCTGGGAGGAGACTCAGTGGGACTTCCCTACCCCCTAGCATCACGGCTGCGCTCCCTCCCAGTCACTGAAGCAGACACTCGCTCCCCAGCTAAGGCACTTGCCCTTGTCCCTGAGGGTGCACTCCTTGGCCATGGCACACGGGGGCCGCGAAGGCGGCAACCCCGCGGGGCCACGGGCGCTTGTGGCACTGACAAGTAAGGAGAGAGAGGACACCAGGTCTCTGCGCTCACCCCACACGCACCAAGCCTTTGCTGGGGAGGCCTGACCACGGAAAACGCCATGATAAACCTACAGGCTCCAAACTCATTCACTGTGGACACACACATGCTCACACATGTGCACACACACTCACACACACAATCACACACACAACACAGTCAAGCACATTCATGCACACACAAAGACACACATACGCTCACACACATACATACACATGCTCATACAGACACTCGTTGCTAACACAGACAGACATACACAGACAGGGTCACACAGACACACATGCTCACACACATACATCCACACAGTCAAGCACATGCACTCACATACACAGACACACACATATGCTCACACAGACACATACGCACTCTCACACAGACTCACATGCTCACACATGCTAGCACAGACAGACACACAGACAGGCTCACACAGACACACATAGTCACACGTGCACACACACACACAGAGTCAGGTACATGATGCATGCACATAGAGATTCACAAATGCTCACAGACACACATAGTGAAGCACATATGCATGCACACACAGAGACACATACACATGCTTGAGTGAACACACACAAGCTCCTTCAGTGTGGACACACAACACTCACACGTGTACACACAGACACACGCACGCTCACACACACACACAGTCAAGCACTTGCATGCACACACAGAGATGCACTCTAGACCTTCAGACAGCTTCTGCAGATACTCAAAACCATCAAAAGTCATCAAATCACACATGTAGGAGGCTCGCAGGCCAGAACACACATGTTTTGCACGATCACATTCAGACTCACACATCCTTGACTGTACACAGATGCATACATGGGCACAGCCCTGGAAAGCTGCCTGGGGAGCGGGATTGCCCTGTGCTCCAGTCATGACACAAACATCCGTTGAGTGCAGACAGAGGCCTGATGCATCCTGTGTGAGCGCACAGTCAGTCAGCAGCTGCCCACAGCCGCCTCCTTATAAGCAACAAAAACCCAGAAGTGCAGGGCCATAGGGTGTGGCCCTGGAGGCCACAGACCCCGGAATCCTGGGGCTGTGCACACTCCAGACTCTGGAGAGTGACCTGAGCTCTGGCTTCCAGGTCCTAGGGGCAAGATGAAGAGCCACCCCCCAGCGTGGCCTCAGCTGACCTTTGCATGAACTACGGGAGCACTCACACCTGACACCTGACCTTTGCATGAACTATGGGAGCACTCACACCTGACACCTGACCTTTGCATGAACTATGGGAGCACTCACACCCGACACCGACCGACCGACCGACCGACCGACCGACCCTCAAGCCGCGGCCTCATTACCTTTTCTAGGCCCTTGCCATGTTTTCTCAAGAGGGTGCCCTGCAGAGACAGTGTCACAGCAAGGTCAGGACCCAGGTGCATCACACTCGCCCATGTAGGGACTGGGATGGGGGTGGGGTGGAGGTGGGGAGGGCACTACACTGTCTAGGGTTGGGGAAGGCTGGGGGACTGTGGGAGCTCACTCTTAAGAGAGGGGGAGGGGAAAGGAGGAAGCCAGAAGAGGGAGGATGGGGAAGAGGGAAGAGACAGACTAGGAAAAAAGAGGGAGGAGGGTAGGAAGCAGGGAAGAGGAGGGAGAGAAAGAAGGGGAAGGGAGGGGAGAGATGAAGGAAGGGGAGCGGGAGGAGGAGGAGGAGGAGAAAAGAGAGCCAGAGCCAGAGAGAGCCCAAGGTAAAAGCCACTGTTAAAAAATAAGCCATTTCTGTTTGAAACCTGGGGCTTATGCAGGGACACTTGGCTCAGTCTGGGAGGAGGGGACTGGACCTGCCTGGACTGAGTCTACCAGGTTGATCGCAGTCCTCGGGGGAGGCTTTGCCCTGGAGGAGGTGGGAATGGGGGGTGGGCTGGGGGTGAGGGGGGGTGTGAGGGGGAGAACAGGGGAACCCGTGGCTGATATGTAGAACTGAATGGTATTGTAAAATAAAATAAAGGGGGGAAAAGACACTGGAAAAAAATAAGCCATTTACATTTGGTGTACAAAGGAACCCACCGGACCCCAGGTTAGCATTAGCACCCCACCCCACACTGAGATCTGAGCCTGATCTGTCTCTGGCACACACTTGTGGCCTGAGCCAGGTAGCTTCTCTCCCAGGCTCGGCTTTCCTCATCAGACTGATTGGATTGAGACCTCGTGTCACGAAGGTGAGCTGTGACAGACACTGACTTGCCGCAAGGCGTCGGCATTGTGTGTTCCTTTATGCTATGCCTACAACTAGAACCTGGCACTGGGTGCGATGCCACGAGGTGGCTACAGACCCTAGGCTGTGCCCACTGGAACCTGAGCTTGAGACAGTAAAACGTCACGGTGGCCTTGCCTGGCCCACCAAGGGGTGTGGGGTGGGTTTACTGAGGTCTGAGGCCACTGGGTGAGCACTGTCCGCCCAGATTGCTCCCCTTCACTCTGGCAGCTCAGAATCCTGGTATGGACCTCCACTTCCCATGCCAGGTCTGGGCAAAGCTGTGGCACCCAGACGGCCTGGCAGCATGGCCGCCTCTCCCAGCGGGGCCTCCAGATGTGTTGGTGTGTGCGTGGGGCGCTAGGGGAGTCACGGGGCACACTGAGGAGACAGCATGGCCAGACCTGCATGCAGAAGGGAAGACCCCAGCCCACCGCTGTCTACCCGAGTGGATGTGCCCTGCCTCCGAGTCTGGGAGGGGCGTGGTCTCCCAGCCCCACCCCTCTCGATGCCCCACCCCCCAGCACACAGATACAAAGTCGGGGTGAAGGGAGGAGGGTTCACGGGTGGGGGCGGCCCCAGTCCAGACACACAGCGAAAGAACAACGACGATGGACAGACAGACGGACAAACGGGTCTCTACTTACAATCATCTGCCAGCCGGAACGGGGGCAGGGTGGGGAGAGGGGAACAAGTCACTGTGAGTGGCCCCGGGAGGGCCCAGGGCCACCGGAAGGACACTGAGGCACTGGCAGCCCCCAGCCCTGGCCCCGCCCGCCCAGAGGATCGCCTGGCTGAGGCCTCCCCACACCCTCCTCCACCGGTGGCCCCGCCAGGGCTACCCCGCAGCCAGCCCGGCCCGCAGCCCATCGTCCCCTGGAGGACACGCCCAGCTCCCCACCTCAGATGTCCCCAGGCTGCCTGCCTAGAAATCAGGGAGCCACCAGGGTAGCTGCAGACTGCCGGGCTCTGGCGGCCCTCCAGCTGTCCCGACTCCCCTGAGTGACCTGAACCCCGTGTCTTTGTCCCGGCCCCCATCCTGGAGGCACCGCGTCCCCTGGGCCCCCCTCAGTGTCCCTCGCGTGTCCCGCGCGTCTCACCGTCTGGTCTGTGAGCGGCGGCAGCACGATCGTCTTCTCCATGGTGTTCATCACCAGCTTCCACAGCTCCTTCAGCACGCGCTTCAGAACCGTCTTCTCGCAGATTTTGGCGAACAGGGTGAGGCTGGGGATGAGGCTGGCGTCAGTGACCGGGACCCGGGCCTCCCTCCGGGCGCAGGCGTGGTCTGGCGGGCGACCACGCATGGTGTGTGCAGGGAAGGCAGACGGGGTTGGGGGAACCTGGGCTTCGTGGTGAAGGGGAGGCTATGGCGTGGTCAAGTCAGACACCCCGGGATGCTCAGATGCGGAAGAACGCCCGGCGGCGGCCAAGTTCTCCTCCCCAGGGAGGGCGCAAGGGGCTGGGGCCACGCCAAGGACGGGCAGGGCGGGCAAGAGGGCGAGTGAGGAGCGGGAGGGCGGACGACTCATGACTGACTCAAGGCGCTGGGGTAACCTGCCAGCGCGCACTTCCCAGAAGACTCCTCACCTGCCAATCACAGCCCCAAAGTGACCACCGCTCTTCACAGCCTATGCAATAGTCAATGCGCCATCCACCCC